TTTGAGCCTTTGACCTTTTCTTTTCACATACCCACATTTTATCTTATCCCACAATCTATTACACCTCTTAGTTATGATGGAAACAGAAAAAGAAGCAAGATTTTTTGTTATTTTTATTTTGTTGGTTTTTTTTTTAAAAAAAAAAAAAAGAAGAAAAAGAAAAAAAAAAAAAAAAAAGAAAAAAAAAAAAGAGATTTCCAATAAGAGAAAAATAGCGGTCAAAGTAGCTGCCACTGAATTAGTTGATTATGCTTCATAATTGTGTTTCCTTTCCATCATAGCTAAGTTAGCCAATCCCCCACAAATTTTCCACCTTCACCTTAGCCAAGTTACAACCTATTCAAGTCCCTTTGATTAAGTTCAGGTCTGTGTGTCACTTAGAAGACAAGAGCATCTTATCAAGCCTATGTCAAAGCTATTCCTAGTGTTGGATTGAGAGAAACAGAACCCTTGAGCATTGAGTGAATAATTCTGTAAGTCAGTGAGGCTGTGAAAAGTTGCCATCTTTATTGCCTTTTGAAAAATATTGCATGCTGTGTTAAGAATTGAATTTTCAGAATCTCTTTTGTCATTATTCAACAGTCAGTGAGGCACTTATGCATTTGAATTTCACACACTATTTGCTGAGTAGTTTTATGGAATAAAAGGATCATTTAGCTGCCTGGTTTGTGATTGATGGATTGCTGAACTATGTACCCACCTCTGTTCCCTGATCTTTGTGATAATATGATGCACTGAAGTTGGTTTTAAAAGCTGAACATTGAAATGCTGATGAAAATGTTTGAGATTGTTGATTGATTCTGAGTAGCTTTGAATGATGTGATTTGAATGATTGTTAGTTGAAAGAGTGGTTAATTTGATAAATTTTGGATCTAATTTCTTGTGTCACTTGAGGACAAGCAACAGTGTAACCTTGGGGGTGTGATAAGTCCATGAAATAATACTTACAATGTATGGTTTTTAATATGAAAATGTAAAAAAAGAATACACTTTGTGTTAATAGATACCCCAAATTGAATTAAGGTGGATGATTCTGATTTAAATGCTAATGGTTTTTTTTCTTTCTTATTTGCATTCTTCAGGCCCAATTGTGATACAGCCCAAGGAAAGAAAGGAAAGAGAAAGGAAATAATAGAGAAATGAGAAAGCAAATCAGTGGCCCAAAAGAAAAGAAAAGAAGAAGAGAGAAAGAAGTCAGAATCGTGCGTCTTCTGAAAGAGAAAGAAAAAAACCCTAGCATAGACCGTCTAAGTGAGCCTACTCCATCTCAAGCTCTCCATCACGGTTCCCTCTCTGAATCGAGCAAGTAAACCAAAAACATCCTCTGATTTTCAACCTAGATATAGAACCATCACTTTCCACCACGGTTCAGTTTTTGAATCGGACCAACTTACACAAACCCTAACACCTTGTCTCTCGAACCGAACCCTAACCCTCATACAACCCATTTCCATCGTTTGCACCCTTTCTACCTGATTGACGCACCAAACCACACAATATCGCAAACAAACCAAAACCTAGCCACTATTTTGGATTCAGAAAAAGCCAAACAAAGATCCGTTACTTAGTGGATGCTGGAGCGATTGTGAGCACACGTCAGTGTACGGTTTGAAGGAACGACAATTCCATCCGATTTGTAAGAGCAGAGGAGTGGAGCACTGTGGGGACCACTCATTTGCAGCAGCGCGTCATATTGCTGAGCTGGAGAAAAAGAGGATAGTGTGCAAAGAGCCCTATAAAAGGGATATAGGAGTGAGTCATCGGGGAGCTCTCTTCTGTTTTCTGATTTATGGTTTTTCTTAGTTTTTGTTTTCTGAACAATTTTGAGTTTCTTTTAATTTCTGTTTTGTAATGAGATTCTGGTTCATTTTGATGAACTTGATGCATGTCTTTACAGCACTGAGATTGCCGGTTGTTAGGCCAGTGCTGTAATTGTAGTTTTTAGAATTTTTATTTTGTGAATTCTGTAGTTCTGTTACTGTTTGTAAGCCTCACCCCTATGGATAGTGGCTAACTTTTTAGAGGTTGGGTTTAGGTGATACCCAAACCTCAGTGCTTGTCAAATATTTGATTTCCTGGTTTTAATGTTTATATCTCAGTTGTTTAATGTTGTTTCTAATGTTTAAAATTATCTGCATTTTGGCCAAATGTCAGATGTTTGGTTAGGATTTAGTTGTTGAGAAACAATTAATTCTGGATTCTGCATTAGACACATGAACTTAGATGAGAAATCATCTAAGGGATCTCAATTCAGAAATGAATGAGTCCTCATGTAATAGTGGACCTGAATCTCAAGAGTCCTAATCCCACTTGGCATAGAGATATGGAAGTGGGCAACTTTGGGATAAAATAATTTTTAAGAGATTAAAAATTAACAATACAGTCCTGTTAACAGAGAATCTTAGGATGAGCCTTTTGTTAATCAAATTATTTTTCAAGCATTGTGGGGAAGGAGAGCCAAAAACTCAACCCACCTTTTTAAACCTCTTTATCAATCCAGATTTTCCAATTTCCTTTGTTATTTCATATTTCAATCTCTATTCCGTTTTCAAAATTTTTGTCACATCTTTCATTTAAGTTGCTCCATTCTTCATTCTTATTTTATAACTTAGGAAAGTAATTCAGAAAAATTTTAAAAGAAAAGTGAACAGTAGTATTTTAGAACCATTCTAGATTATTCTTACCTTACAATTTTTATTTCTTTTATTTTCAAATATCAACTCAGTTTTAAGCAATTACAACCTTTAGTCATTTCAAAACGCCAACGATCCTTGTGGGAACGATATCTGGGACTTATAACAGCCCTATATTACTTGTTGTCGCGTATACTTGCGCGCATTACTTGCACAACTGTTAGCAAGGCATCACATACCATGCACATAAACAATCTCCCATGGAGTTTGGTGGAACAACAAGGGATTAACCCTGAGAATCGAAAGCTTACCTTTATCAGCAACACACTCCAACGAACTCTCAGCATCCAAAGGACCACAATCATAGGCCCTCATAGAATCACTACCTATTTCAAGATATAAATACAATTAATGTACACATTATAGTCTATCACATATAAGGAGTTAGGCTCTCTCTCTCTCATTAATAATACGTAAGGCTTTTTCTAAAGCCATAAATATGGGTTGCTTAAGTTAGGACTTAAACATATTTTACAAAGGTTCACACTGATATCCTTAGGGTCCTAAATCATTAGCAAGGGTTCATGAGTCATTCCATTGAAGAACAATTCCAAGAAATGGGCTCCATTGCCCGGTTTGGCGCTAAATCACGTTTACTTTTTTAAAAACTGGTATTGTGTATCTTTACCAAAAATTCTAATATTTTACTATGTTAAACTAGATATCTTAAGCTTTCCAACGACATTATATGTCCCATTTGGAGTTGTATAACTCAGGTTATGTTTTTTGCAAAGTGACTGCTGCAAACTGAATTTCCAGCAGCAAGGTCGCGACTTCAAACTTAAACTGCGATCAATCCACTTACCAATGGATCTAAAATTTTACAAGGTTATATCCCTATGTGTTAGCTTCACAAAGGTCCAAACCGCACTCAATTTCGAGCTTTGTAGCTCGAGATATTGAATTTTTAGCAAACTAGGTTCGCTGTTATCGATTTACTCGGGAAAATCAGTCAATTTACCTGTGTAAATAATTCACTCAGGTAAACACTGAAGTTTACTCGGGGAAATCATCGACAGAACCCAGATTTCGACTAGAAACTCATTTTTTAAGAATTAATCCAACAACGTTCCATTTTTAAGGTTCACAGAGATTCAAGCTACCATTTTTATGCATGTTTAGGCTATTTGCCAACTAGTCTATCATGTTCTGATACTTAACATACTCAAAGGTCATTATTTTCACATGAAACACAAGAGGGTTGTTTGGTTTATACCTTTGGGCTTTCAAAACAGAGGAAGAAGAGCACTTCCGAAGCTTAGACTCTACTCCCAACTACTACCAAATGATGTGCACAAATTTGGCTTTGTCAATGTTGGTTCCTTCACTAGAAAGAGTATAATGTCTCTCAACATAACTTATATTTTTATTAGGTCCTAATTGACTTGTTAGGCATGAATCATATCATTTTATTCATTATTATGATAATTTCATGATTTAATTGTCAGGATTTTCTTAACAGTCACTAAATACACACATTATCTCACTTCTAACTTTTATTTAACAAATTGAGAATGAGAGTTGTTATATGTTAACTGAATCTATAGTTTATATATTTTTGCATTTATTGTTGACAGTAAAAACATTTTATCCCTCGAAGTTTAAACTCACAATATTTTAATCTTGAAATGATACATCCCAATAATTTTATCCTAAAGTTTAAAATCTCAAAATTTTACTCTTTTCAAACAATGAAATGTGTATTTTACTCTACGTCAAATATGAATGTTTATTAAACATTTATTTGTTAGAAACATGCCATATATAAGTACAGCTTTATATGACCTAAAGTATTATTTGATCTTAATCATCTGAATTGACGCACTATGTAGATGGGTTTTTTCTATACTAGTTTATTATTCCATGGCCTGTATTAGTTTTGGTATATTATCTATAATTGGGTTTAATGCTTACTGTACTTAATTTGAAATTATAATGAAGATACTATACTAAATTAGACCGGAGTGATTGCTTCTAGTCATATAAAAATTTGGATTAAAATCCCTTTTGAGTCCCAAACAAATAAACACGATGCCCATTTTCTTCCTTAAAAAAGAAATCAACTTTTGATCCTCCTATAATTTTAGTTCTTTGAAAATATAATCCCTCAAAAATTCAATGAAAACCCAATTTGATCCCTACAAAAGGACCCAAAAGGGCGTTACTTTAAAAATTTGCGTAGTTTGCATATTTAATCAAAATTACTAATATTGTGATCAACCAATTTCTCTCTTTCTTTATTTTGTGGTGCATACTAACAATTCATTGTCTATGGTACTATAAGATATATAAGAATACTGTGCTGAAAGAAACCAATAAATTACAAGCTTATAAATAGCTCAATTCACACATAGGCGAAAATTGCTGCATTAAAAAACTAGGTACAAACAAACTGACAATTAGCTCGGCACTATACTTGACCCACTTAAAATCCTACTGCAAAATTATGCACGTCTATCGTATAAATAACTGTAAATCCTTCCCACTCAAAGATGTTTCCACAATCCTTGAACTTTCCAACATGGAAAATCCTTATAATAATCCTACTTTAATTAAAATTCATAATGGTAGCTTGAAACCTCAATTAATCTTTGGTTTTGGTCGCCTTGGCCTCATTACCATATAAAGGCACACTAGAACAATCAAGAAAGCAGGAATTGTTGTCATATCAAAGACCATATGTATTTTTCTTTCTCTTGTGCAGTTAATTGGATGGAGAAGGGCAAGAGTCGCATTAACTTGGTCAAGAAACCTGCAAGAGAGAATCAAGTTTTCAGGAAAATTGAAATCGAAATTGCTTTTGAACATGAATAAAGGAGAAAGGAAAGTAATCGAGAGCAGGCTCTTCACTGAAGAGGCTACAAGGAAACACAGGCTAGCTTCCAACCATCGAAGAACAATATAGAACATAGTTGTGCTTTTCATCCTTTCCCCACCCTCAGGATAACTTCTGTCCCATTATTTATGAATGAAAAACTAGAGAACAAAATAGGAAACAAATTAACATAATAAGGACTACTAATTTTCAACTGTCAAACACATCCTCCTGAAACTATCGTAAGCCTGAACCATAAAGGAGCTAAGAAACTTTATTGCATTGTACTCTAACTAAAGATTCCACATCTTGTCCTCGTTTTTCTCCCAACCCTATTTGACACAGCTGCTTATATAATTCATTAGGTTTAACCCACAAGGAGGCAAAAAGTGTAAAGCTATCTCCTGAAAGGGGTGATGCAGGATGTGTTTGACTACAAATTGTAGCTTTACACCCGAAAAATACACCAGATCCCTGATACGAAAGTACATCTCCACAAAGCTCTGCATTCTGTAACACAGCTATGCTGTCCCCAAAAAACTAATCATCATTTATATCGCTATACTGTCCAATTCTATTTTATATCTATGTTTCCTCTGTAAAAATGCATATTTTAGAATAATTTCTAGTGCCTAACCTTTTGGATGCATCCTCCACGGTGTTTAGTAGCCTCAATGCGTCAAGATAACGCAATTCTCCAGTGACAGTTGATACCTGAAAATACAACATTCATAACTCATTCATTGCATCAACTATTTAAGAATAAGATTATAAATTTAATAGAAGCCATTAATAACAAGTACTTACCCTTCTCCAAAGACTAACAACATAATTGTACTTGTTTACAAGTTCATGCTCCTGGGACCGGAAGATCATGAAAGTTTTTTCAGCTTTATTTTGTTAAGAATTCACAGACAAATCATCTTATATCACAAGAAAAACAAGGGCACTACTACATTCCCATGAAGAAAATGGAAGCCTTGGGTTGCCATTATTTAATTCAATAACAATCAAGACACATGGCACATTGAGTATATAAATTACTCATTTAATTTTTCAAGATATATAATATATTTTTCCCTCCTAATGATTGGGGTATTTATTCGTTAATGTTGATAAACTCCTAATATATTTTTCTGTGAGATCTTACTGCTGTCCTGATTTTGTGTTAATGTTGATAAATGAATATCTCTTTAAAGAGGAAAGATAAGAGATTAAAGAAATAGAGGATAAGGCATATTTCAAGAATGATCTCATTGAAATTCTCAGAACATGGTAATTCTCTATCATTATATGGCTGCAATACTACAAACAATTAATTATAACATGTTAAAGATAAAAATAAATAAAATAGAATAAACAAAATAGAAATTATAAAATAAAATAAAATAAATTCATTTCTAAAAAATTGATCCATTTATAATTCTCTCTCATTGGATTAAAGGATCATCCATCCTTGTTTACCAATGACAAATTCTCTCTCGATATGTTCCTAAGAAAATCCGATTCACACCGCAAGGATACTAGTTCGCTCCATTAGTAGAAGATGAATGGCTGAATTAACCAGTTGTATTGATTCTTCAAGAGTAGTGATAACATAACTCCGAGCAATTGAATCAGACTGGAACTGTGAAATGTGCCAACCTTGTGATGTAAGGGAGAAAGGGTTGCATCCTACTGACCATATCCAGTCCTGTCATGTTCCGAAATAAATATCAAGACACAGCGGTTCAACTACACTAGATAATGGAGTTACACTTAGCATATATTATTGACTATTCCAGGAACCTGGGCACACAGTATGCAAGCATGCTAATCCCTAAATGAAAATGTACATAGCTGATTAAGGCATCAAGCAACTGCTTCCAGAATAAATTGAAATAGTGGTTCAACTTCCTACGGATCCATTGATTTTTTTTATTTCTTTTTTGTCTCTGTATGTGTTTGTGGTGAGTTTTTTTTTTTTTTTTTTTGGGGGTGGGGGGTTTCAGGAACATCCCCCGAATAATAACTATCAAGATCCAACTCCCCCAAAAGTATAAGTTGTTAAGTAAAAACACATGAATATTTTTATATTATATCTCTACCACCCCCTCATGCAACTCTTCGGGCTTGAAGCATGAACAATGTATAATCCACCTACCTAGTGCTGAAATTCAACTTTTTATTGAAAGATTGGGAGTGGCAAGGATCGAACTTTAAACTACTTGTTTATAGAGGCTCTAATAATATGTCGTGAACCACCTTTCCCAAACATTTAAGCTGTTAGGTAAAAACATATGAATGTTTTTATATTATATCACTAAACCCCATCTCATACAATAGCCCTTTGGGCTTGAAGCATGAATAATATACACGCACACCTACATTATGCTGAAACTCAACTTTCCAGTATAAAATTGCGGACGACAAGGACCTAACTCTAGACTACTTGATCTTAGAGGCTCTTGATATCATATCATGAACCAAATTCCAAAAGTTGAAGCTATTAGGTAAAAACACATAGATGCTTTTACATTATATCTCAAAAAATAAAATCAAAGAATGTTTGCATTTTAAAGAACTTAGTTATGCCTAAAGCAGAGCCATGTATGCCTGAATGAAAGATATCTGATTGAATTTGACTTAAAACACTATATGTGTATCATAGAAATGGATTAGACATAAAGTGTACCTCAATTGCAGTCCCGTGGGCTTGACTATAAACAAGATGAAGTGGAAGCAAACCCGCGAGATGCTCAGCAGTAGCAGCCACTGCAGCTTTTATAGGCTGCCTTTGTTGTCCATATAAAGGATGAAATCATGGAAGAATTGATAAGTGGCCTTTTGTTCAATAAATTAAATTCTTATCACTAATGTTAAATAAAAAAGTTCAATTATTGAGGAACATCCTCAGTCAAATTATCTCTTGAATAATATTGTAACATAATATGATTTGAGACAATTTAAATTTCTCCCAGAAGTTCAATTCTCTCCCCTTCCCTTGTCAAATAAATAAAATAGTACACTTTGAAAAAAATTGAAAGTGTAAGGCCTATGATAAAGATTGTATTGAATCACTTGAATATAAAATAATATGTTGTGTATATATCTAATTTAGAGGGTTACAATATATAGAAACTCTAATGGGCTTAAGTGAAAGGCCCAGACCTAATACAAACTTAATACAATCAGAATTAATTACAGACTAATCATATCTAATCATAATAATTACAGACTAATCATATCTAATCATATTTAATATATTCTAACACTCCCCCTCAAACTGGTGCGTATATATTGTGAGCACCAAGCTTGTTACAAATATAATGAACCCGAGGACCTCTAAGAGCTTTAGTGAAGACATCCGCTAGTTGATCAGAGGAGTTGACGAAAGCAGTCTTGATTTCTCCTGACTGAATCTTTTCTCGAATGAAGTGACAATCAATCTCTATATGTTTGGTCCTCTCATGAAAGACAGGATTAGAGGATATATGTAGCGCAACTTGATTATCACAGATGAGTGTCATGGGTTGTTTCTGTTCACAAAGATGAAGCTCCTGAATCAACTGCTTTAACCAGACTAACTCACAGGTAGCATTTGCCATTGCACGATACTCAGCTTCTGCACTAGATCGAGCAACAACAGGTTGTTTCTTGCTCTTCCACGAAATCAAGTTTCCTCCAAAGAAGACACAATAGCCAGAAGTAGAGCGCCTGTCAGAGGGTGATCCTGCCCAATCAGCATCTGAATAACCACAAATTTATGTATTTCCCTGATCTGAATACAACAAACCTTTTCCTGGTGATCCTTTGATGTATCGGAGGATCCTCACAGCAGCATCCCAATGTGAATCACAAGGGGAATCAAGAAACTGACTAGCCGTACTAACAGCGAAAGAAATATCTGGCCTAGTCACAGTAAGATAGTTGAGCTTCCCAATTAGCCTCCGATAACGTCCAGGATCAGATATCGGCTCCCCCTGTCCGAGCAATAACTTGACATTAGGATCCATAGGTGTATCAACTGGTTTACTCCCCAACATACCAGTTTCTTCTAGGATATCCAAGGCATATTTCCTTTGACAGATAGAAATGCCCTGTCTGGATTGCGCCACATCAATTCCCAAGAAGTAACGCAGCTTCCCAAGGTCCTTTGTTTGAAATGTACTAAACAAATGCTGTTTTAACTGACGAATTCCGTCTTGATCAATTCCGGTGAGAATGATGTCGTCAACATAGACTAACAAATAGATACACTTATCAGGAGATGTAATCCTATAAAACACAGAATAGTCAACTTTACTGCGGATTAAGCCAAACACCTGAACAACAGAACTGAAGCGACTGAACCATGCTCGAGGAGACTGCTTGAGACCATATAAGGATTTCTGAAGACGACACACCTTTCCAGACTCCCCCTGAGCAACAAAACCAGGTGGTTGCTCCATGTAAACTTCTTCTTGTAAATCACCATGAAGAAAGACATTTTTGATGTCAAGTTGAAGGAGTGGCCAGTGACGAACAGCAGCAAGGGCAAGAAAGAGGCGGACTGACGCCATCTTAGCGACCGGAGAAAATGTATCGCTATAATCAAGGCCAAAGATTTGAGTAAAACCCTTGGCAACTAAACGTGCCTTGAGACGATCAATATGGCCATCAGGTCCAACTTTCACAGTAAAAACCCAGCGACAACCAACTATAGACTTCTCTGGAGGAGCAGAAACAAGGTCCCAAGTGCCATTGGAATGAAGTGCAGTCATCTCATCAAGCATTGCTTGGCGCCACCCTGGATGGGAAAGTGCTTCACCTGTGGTCTTAGGAATAGAAATAGAAGAAAGACTAGAAACAAAGGTGAAATGAGGTGAAGAAAGACGGTCATAACTCAAAAAGGTATAAAGAGGATAAGGGTTACGAGTAGTACGTGTACCTTTTCTTTGAGCAATGGAAAGAGTCTCTGATGAAGGATCCGGAGGGGAAGAAGCAACAGCAGTGGGCGATGAGTCAGCAAGAGTCGAGTCGACAGGAGGCACAGTTTTGCGACGCTGATAGGTGAGAAGTGGACGGTCCTCAGGTATAGAAGCAATAGGTTGCTCAGCTGGAATAGAAGCACCTGTAGCTGGCAAAGACAAGTCAAGAAAAGGGACAGGAAGTATATGATCAACCTGTGACATCTGAGATGGGATAGAATTAAAGGGTTGTTGATCAAGAAAAGTGACATCAGCGAAAACTAAGTAACGCTTAAGGTCGGGAGAATAACAACGATAACCCTTTTGAAGACGAGAATAACCAAGAAAGATACACTGAAAGGCTTTGGATGTTAACTTATCCTTACCAGGAGTGAGATCATGAACAAAATAAGTACAACCAAAGACATGTGGAGTTAGAGGATAAAGAGGAACATCTGGAAGCAATAGATTATGAGGAATGTCATTGTGGAGCACAGATGAAGGCATGCGATTGATGAGAAAACAAGAGATGAGTACAGCATCTGCCCAGAAGTGAAGGGGAACCTGCATATGAATAAGAAGGGTACGGGTAGTTTCAATGAGATGTCTGTTTTTACGTTCAGCCACCCCATTTTGTTGTGGAGTGTGAGGACAAGTAGTTTGATGTAAAGTACCTTGTGTGGCCAAGAAATTAGAAAAATCAATAGAAACATATTCCTTAGCATTATCACTATGTAGAATACGAATAGAAACACCAAATTGAGTATGGATCTCAGTAGAAAACTTTTTATAAATGGAAAATAACTCAGAACGATTTTTCATTAAATAGGTCCAAGTGCAACGGGAAAAATTATCAATAAAGGTAATGAAATACCGAAAACCTAAGACAGACAAGGTACGACTTGGACCCCAGATATCTGAATGAACAAGAGAGAAAGGGGCATCAGCTCGTTTATTGACTCGACTGGCAAAAGAGGAGCGTGTATGCTTCCCTTGTTGACATGACACACAATCTAAAGACTGAAGACCGGACAAAAGAGGAACCATTTTCTGCAACTTTGAAAGACTTGGATGACCAAGGCGACTGTGGATAAGTTGTGGAGATTCTGTGAGAGAGCATGCTACTGAAGGACGAGGCACATCCAGATAATAAAGCCCCTGTGACTCACAACCCACTCCAATCATTTTTCCCGTACCCGGATCCTGCACAGAAACAGAATGGTTAGAGATAGTAATGGTGCAAGTGAGAGAGTGGATCAACTTACTAATAGAAATTAAGTTATAAGGGATGCCAGGAATGTAATAGACAGATGTTAGGGCCAAGGTAGAGGTCGGACGAGCTTGTCCAATCCCACGAACTGGGGCTTTGGTTCCATCCGCAAGGGTAAAAGACGGTAAATGATCAGAATGAGTAAGAGATGTAAAGAGTTCCTTATTACCACAGAGATGATCGGTAGCACCGGAGTCAAATATCCAAGTGCCAAGTGATGAAGAATGAGAAACACAAGCAACGGGATTACCAGTATAAGGCTGAGACTGAGGAGAAGCCTTCCTGAGAAGGGTTTGGAGTGCAGCATAGTCCGAACCTGAACCAAATGATGCATTGTCTGCCTGAGCTATATTTGCAACAATAGAAGAAGAGTTAACCTCCGAGAGATCAGGAGATGCTGCTGCCATTTAAAGATAAAATATAAAAGCCGTAAACGAAGGCAAACGATATCCAATCAAGGAGAACCACACGTCTAAAGTCAGACCCACAGAGAAACAATCACAGATCCAGAAAGGGGAAGAGAAGGCGAGCTTCTCTGTCCAAGACCGGTCGGAAAAAGCCGCCGGAGCACACGCGCCGGTAGAAGGTGGCGCGTGAGGCCCACGCGCAGAGGAGGTGGGCGGCGCGTGAGGGATGCGTTGGTGACCGGACCTCCACAGACTTGATCGCCAGGAGGAGACGGTCCTGATCGCGTGATGTCTGGTCTGAAAAAGTCGCCGGAAAAACGTCTCCGGTGGCCTGAACAGTGGTCCTAGTGGTGGACGGTGGATCCAGTGGCCGTCGACGGTGCTGACGCGTTTGGAAAATTACTCAGAAGCTTTTTACAGCCCTAGATGGCTTGCCGGAAGGACGCACGGCAAAGAAAGAGGACTCCTAAGCAGTGGGCTTAGGTTTTAAAGCAAAAACAAGGTTTCTAAGCGAAAGCGAGGGTCCTCAGAACAAAAGAGCTCTGATACCAACTTGAATATAAAATAATATGTTGTGTATATATCTAATTTAGAGGGTTACAATATATAGAGACTCTAATGGGCTTAAGTAAAAGGCCCAGACCTAATACAAACCTAATACAATCAGAATTAATTACAGACTAATCATATCTAATCATAATAATTACAGACTAATCATATCTAATCATATTTAATATATTCTAACAGAATCAATTATCCTAGAAGCTTAAGCTATTAGGCAAAGATACATGAATGATTTTATGTTACAATTTGAAGAAATGAAGAAGTGTTTTCCCTGAATAACTCAATTTCTTAATTCATTGAGACCCAATGGGTCCTTTTTATATTGAGTAGAATGAGCTACACTAATAAATAGCAACAGTAAACTAAGAGACTTATTTACAATAACAAGAAACACTAATAAATAAGGGAACAGATAGCAAAAAAAGCAATAAATGATAAATCACAATCTAGAATATTTTACACTCCCCCTCAAGTTGGGAGATATATATTGATCATTTCCAACTTGTTGATCAAATCCTCAAAGGTCGGCTTAAGTAATCCTTTGGTGAGAATATCTGTCGTCTGTTCCTTGGTAGGTACATATGACAAGCATACACTACCATCTT